AATGATAATAATAATAATAATAATAATAATAATAATAATAATAATAATAAAATATATGCCCATATAAACCATTGAGAAAACTTTAAAGAATTTAAGAGAAAAATGGGTAAAGATATGAACAGTTATATCATAGGAAAGGAAATGCAATGTCAATAAATATTAAAAGAGGCCCAATCTCTTGGAGTTATATGAAGACCATATTTTTATGCTCCTTCAATTGGAAAATTTTTAAAGTCTGCCAAACCAATTGTTACTGAGAGTATGCATAAACAAAACTGCTTAAGCATGGATGATGGGAGAATAAACTTTGGGAAAGAGTTTGACATTATTTTCCAATGTTTGACACTTATACCCTATATCCAGTAATTATATTCCTGAAACTCTATGCATGTACAAAAGGATTCATACAAGCCTTGTTTCTAACTTCTGAAACATGGAAATAATCTAACTGCACATTCATTTGACAAGTATTTATTAAGAGTACATTTCATGATAGGCCCCATCCTAAATATTTGCATATAGTAATGAAAATAGACAAAAACCATGATTTTAAAGATCTTACACTGTAGCCTAGGAGACAACACAATTAATATATTACATAGCATGTTAGAAAGTAGGATATATAGCTCAGTGGTACAGCCCTTGCTTAGCCTGCAGGAGGCCCTGGGTTCCAACCTCAGGACAAAAGTGGGGTGGGCAAATGAGGACAGGTGCAAGATAAATCTTACTGAGGAGATATGACAGGCACAGAAATTTGAAGGGAGAGAATTAACCATACTTTGAGTAAACAAGCAGAACCTTTGACCTACGCAAGAATATGTCTTGAGGATGGAGCAAGATGGGCAAGTGGGAAAGATTATATGTATAATCTTGCACCAGATTATACACAGTAAAATTTATACAAGACTTTATAGGCTACGCTAAAGGTTTTGGGTTTTACCTTTAATGAAATGGAGAGCTGCTGAAAGGTTTTCAACTGAAGGTTTGTGATAAAATTTATGCTTTAAACAATATCACTAAAGCTGCTCTATTCAGAATAAACGTGGCTGACTCAAGTGAAGGCAAAGAGACCAATGAAATTGTTGCAGTAATCCCAAAGAGAGATTATGGCCCATTAGCCCATCGTAGAACAATGAATGAATGCAGTGCTGTATTCACAACTGGAATGTTACACAGTACTGATAATTTTCCTCAAAAGTGTGAATAAATCTTAGTAACATATTGAGTGAAAAGAAGCAAAGATAGGTTACATATAGCATGATGCCTTTTAGATTAGAGACAACTAAAATTAAAACACATTATTTAGCTATGTATATCCAATAGAACTATCTTCTTTAAAAAAATTCAAGAGAACAATGAACAAATTTGAGGTGGGGGTTGAGACAGGGTCTCACTATGTAGTTGAGACTGACCTAGAACTATGTAGCCCAGTTTGGTCTCAAACTCGCAGCGACCCTCCTGCCTCAGCCTCCTGAGTGGTGCCATAAGACCTAGGGCCTTACTTCCACTCTGAGGAGCTTAAACAGCTGAAAGGGCCTCCAAGATCCTGGGCCTATAGCCCAGCGATTGCTCCAGGAGCTTGACAAGCAGCAAAAATCACCCAGGAAGGAACACACTGGACTAGTTGGAATACAGACCTTTATTAGTCTGGCCAAATGGCACTCCCAGAGCCAAGCAGCTCAGAGGCATCAGCTCAGGGCTTAGGCTGCTTTTATAAGCGGATAGGCAGGGTGGGGGTCTATACTCAAAGCACGTAGGCAGTGTGGGACCCTAACTGCTATGTAACCCTTAGTTAGCCAGCATATAGCAGCACACTTCTTTCTACCCAGCTCCAAGATAAGATTAAAACAGAGTGTGTGGAAGCCTTGTACAGGTAAACAAGATAGCAACTCAAGGCCTTGTTAGAACAGAACAGCCTGAGGTCTGGAGATGAAAGACCAGGTGCACCGTATAGCTGACTCCTTTAGACAGATAGCAGAAAACCGACCCCCTGACCCCTAGACTTGCTGTGCTTGCAAGCCTCTTCCCTTGCCTTTAAAATACTGTGCTAACCCCTGTACCAGGCCTCTCTGAGCTGCTCAGTTCTGAGAGTGCCATCTGACCAGACTAATAAAGGTCTATTTACCAACGAGCCTGTGTGTTCCTTCCTGGGTGAGTGTCGCTGCTCATTGAGCTCCCGGAGCCTCGCTGAGCTATAGGTACCAGTATCTTGGAGGCCCTTTGGGCTGTTCAAGGTTCCCGGAAGTAAGGCCCTGGGTCTTGCATCTGGAGCCATCATTGGGCTACAGGACTCAGCATCGTGAAGGCCCTTTCAGCTGTTCATGCTCCTCACTCCTCCGAGTGAAGTGAGACTTTAGGTCATACAGGCAGGGGGCAAAGGTTAATGGTCTGCTAGTCTATGCTGGTGATGAGAAATCAGGTACTTGGCAGTCACATGTTGATGGTTAACAGATGCTTATAGAATGTCCCAAGGTTTTCAAAACATTCCTTCCGGGCAGACAAGGAGTGAAACAATCTTATCTATTCACCCAGAACTACTAAACCTTCACCTGTTAATTTACATTAATCACAATTGAGGCTAGGAATTTAAAATTACGAAGTTATGCAGTCCCACATTGGGAGTGTTGGGATTACAGGCATGCGCCACCACACCCAACAATGAACAAATTTTCTGACAGTGTTTACATGGAGAAGAAGTAAAAAGAGACTTGATAAAGAGTAGTGGTAAATGTGAATTACTATCAATCTATAGTTCTTAAAGATTGGGCAACAAAGTTTTGATGGTTTCGGACCATCAAGATTTATGATTAACACCATTAATCCAGGCGTTATATTTAACATCATTTTGTGTACCTGAGTTCTGCCAGGGTAGGAAGATGAACAGTAGGTTTTGCAGCAGAGGTTAACTTTGTTTCACATCCCTGCTATGTGGGCTTCAATTTCATCGCCACAAATAAAAGTCGAGGCCAAGGATGTAGGGGGCGACAACAGTACCAAGTGTACTACCACATGAAGAAAGTGAAGAAAAAAAAAGAGCAATCGTTATGAAAAAAGATGCATCCTTTTCTAGCCCTGAGAAGTTCAGAATTTTGGGGAAGAGCCTGGGAAATCGAGCCTACCAGTTGGAATGGACAGGACCTGGGGAAGGGAAGACGTGGGTCCTTCCCCCGGAAGTGGCCCGATAAATCAGCCCGGCTAAAGAAGTGAAGCCTCGTCAACCTCCCACCGGAAGTGTCAGCTCCAGGAGAGAGGTGGAGCCCCTCGGCCTTCCACCAGAAGTGTCCGACCGGAACCAGCCATGTGGAGAAGGTGTGACTAGAGATCCGGGTGACCGGCCCTGTGTCCACCTCCAAACATCCAGTCCCCATCGTGGTCCCCTCAGGATAAAGCTTCCCCCGGCACCCGAACCCTGGGCCTCCGAAGAACCCAGGAGAAAGGAGGAAGCCACCTTCGGCTTGGCGGGCTTTGGCTCTGGAGTGTCTCCGGAGGGTATGGCGGTCCCCGTGAGCACGTGACTACACGGAGGACTGGAGACGAGGCTCAGAGTGAGGCAGCTGGCGGTGGTTCTGGGGCGGTGGGTATTGCGAGCAGGTTGGGAGGTCTGCTGGCCTGGGAGGGACGATTTCCTAACCGTAACACCAGTGACCCCAGTTCACTCCGCCATTATTTTGTGTTTTCTGTGTGCTGTGCTGCAGTGAAACTTCAGTAATCAAAACATGGAGTGAGCTGTAAAATTAGGAAAGCAGATAAGGAACTATTGGAGCAGCAGGAAACGTAGTGGACTTTTGGGCAATGAGCCAGCTACACTGGCTGAAATTAACATCTGGCCCGCTGGAATAGTTGCCTTATTTTATTATTTAAGAGATTTATAAGTAATCCTAGTTCTTTCTTCTGAATAACTAACAATCCTAGTTACACATTCTAAACATATACCAATTCAAGCTTCTGTTTTCCTCTACTTGTATGAGTACAATGGCCTCTCTTTATTTTGCAGTCCATCCAAAAATAAAAATACATTAATCTCCACAGAAATGTTCAGTGGGCCATACTTTCTGCTCAGAAGTTTTCACTGGCTTTTTGACTCAATGCTTTCTACAACTCCTTCCTTTTGCTTTCCCACTTCTTGTGAATTCTTACCCTTAACCAATAGTTCACATGGTCTATCTACTTGTAATTTCCTGTTTCTCTCTGTTCCATACTCAAATCTTATCCTTTCTTTAGAAATTCAATAAGCTCCCTCTGACCAATGAAATCAACTACGCAGTCACATCCCGTTTTAAAAACACTTCTATCATCTTTTCTCTTTGGGTCTTTATTTTCTTTATACAGTTGAATAACATGGCTTGTTAATATTTAGCAGTGTTTTTAAATTAAATTATCTTATTTTTAAATGTTAAGTTGTATTAAAATAAGTCATGTAATCATATTCCATGAAGCAGGAATCGATGTTTCCGCATCCAGTATATGCTCAATGACAGAGAATGATGGTTTCCATGATGTCTTTTCTCTTTCAAGATAGTAATAGTACTTTTGATGCCTTAGGAAGACTCTCCTAAAGAAGGCCCTTCTGGTTTTCTACTAATATCTTTAGCCTGCAATGGCAACAGAATCAAGGAAAGCTGCAGCTTAGAACTTTCCAGTAGATAAAGGACTTCTGCTAGTGGAAGAGCAAGAGTTAATCTGGAATCCAGTCACTTGCTTACAGAGAAACGATCCCTTCAGGCAGGTCAGTCGACAACTTTTTAGGAAGTTTTGCTACCAGGATTCCCCTGAACCTCCAGAGGCCTTAAGCCAGCTCCGTCAGCTCTGCCATCAGTGGTTGCAGCCAGAGACCCACAGCACAGAGCAGATCCTGGTGCTGGTGCTGGAGCAGTTTCTGGCTGTCCTGCCTGAAGAGCTGCAGGCCCATGTACATGAACATTACCCAGAGACCAGAGAGGAAGCCATGAGCATACTGGAAGATATGGAGAGAGGCACTGATGAAGCATTTCCCCAGGTGCACAAGGGTTGGGAGACCTAAACCCTCCAGAGTGGGAGGAGAGGACTGTGATTGGATATCTGATGAATTTCGCCGGAATTTAGTGTGCATTTGTGTCTCTTTTCCTCTCTGTTTGGACCACACTACCTTGCTCAATTTGGACTTTATTCTTTCCTCCCCACAAGAGGTTTTCTTTATTGTTAGATGTTTAATTCCAATAGAGATTCTGTCATAAACCCAAGTGCACTTTAATTTTCCCAGGTTCCATCCCATGCACAAGAACATGGACACAAAATATTCAGGAAAAGAACATTGCCTCCTGTACCATCACTTAATGTCCAGCCCCAGCTAGCAGAGTCCAAGACCCATTATGGTTCTTCAGAACCCTAGCTCCTCCTGGACTATGGTAAGGGGTAATGTACCACATGCCATGTGGTACATGTCACTGAAGAAGTAGGGGAGTGACTCTCCCTTCTCAGAGTGGTCTCATTAACTGTAGGTGGTCCTTTCCTTCATTGCACAAATACAGAACCTGTTCCCTAGGGTCTTTGGCCAGTGGAGGAGAAAAAAGATAATTTTATATCATGTCCAAAATATTTCCAAAACACAAATGTTGTGTTATGACCAAATTATAGAAAGAAAATTGAGTGAATTGAGGAAATATAGAAAGAGAAAAGAATCAAAGGAAATAAAACACATGTATAGAAACAAAACATATTACTTTTGTTGCTTGTTTGGTGGGGTGGGTACTGGGGAGCAAACTCAGGCCCTTTAGAGGCAGGCACAGCACCACTGAGCTAAATCCCCAGCCCTAAAAACAAAACACATTAGTAGAGAACAACAACTAGAAAGAGAGGCAGGTTCATGTTGAAATACTCAAATAGAACATAATTTTCAGGTGCATAGTCCTACACTGTTGCCTTTTATATTGTACTTTTGGTCTTATAAAAGTCTTCTTTGTTTTTTGTTTTGATCCTGAGGCTCAAACTCAGGACCTTGCACTTGCAAGGTAGGCACGGTACCACTGAGCTAAATCCTGGCCCTCTTCTGTTTTTTTATAGATGGCTATATTTCTAGTGACTAGTTCATAGAATAATCATCACTGTTTCACAATTCATCTATTTCAAAGGTTTATATAATACATGTAGTGTTACCTTAGGTGTAAATGGTCTCAATAATAAACCTAAGAATAAGTTAACTGTTCATTTTTAATAAATCACAGATTCCCTTTTCACATTTGTTATGGAAACATTTCCGTCTACCCCATATAAAATTGAAATTTTCTCTCACCCTGAGACTCCTGAGCACTCCCTAATTCCCTTTCTTTCTCTAGCATATTCTATACAAAGGAAATCCTATTTAAAGGAGGGGCTGCTTGACTGCAGCACAATATAGAGTCATGAGCTAGAACTAGAGGGCTCAATCATAAGGGCTTGATCTGTAAGGACTAAGTCAAAAGTGGGTTCTGAAAACCATGCTGTGATATGTAGACTTAAGGTAGAAGAAGATACTGAGTAGGATATAAAAGGATAACAGTGTTTAATGACAGTCTGATTAAGGTATTTGGGTATTTAGGATAACTAGGAAGAAGGAAAACACAGAGTTAAAACAGTAAGAAGCCTGTTAGAGGCATCTAGACAGGAAGTCGTGAGGTTTCAGCCTTTGGAAATGGTAGCAAAACTGTAAAGGAAGAGATATACATAGGGGACATTTGGCAGAAAGTGTTGATAATTTGGAGAATTGATTAACCATGAAATATGAGGAAAAATAGATAATTTATGGATGGAGGTTTTTCCCTCCACATAACATAATTCAGAGTCAATTATAGACTTATTTTTCTCTCCTGTGTTCTCATCTTGCTTTGAAATAGTACTCTAAGCTTTACACTAGAAATACGTAAGACTCAAAGCCCCAAGATTGCTTTGTTCACATTGCATAGTTCTTTGTCCTTACTCTGTCTCTTGCCCTCCCCATTCTTCAGAAGATTATCCTTTTCCCAGTCATTTCTGTCTTATCTGTTCATCCTTGAACCTCTCTCTTCTCTGCCTCATCACTGCGTTAATTCCTTGCCTTTGCCTGTTTCTTCCTTCTACATCCTGTCCATCCTCTCATATGAAAGACTACATATTTAATGTAGCCAAATGAAGTATTAACATGTAACTAAGTTGCATATACCCCAACATTTTCTTCCAGTGCAGCAAACAGGTGGTATTTACCTCTTTCTTTAATATTTCAAATAGTGAGACTGAAAACAGTAGATCCATGCCTAAGCTGGACATTTATGAAGAAATGGAATTGCAGAGAATTAAATCAGGAAGTGTCTCAGAATGTACATCAGAAGAATCTGCTGAGCCTCACAACATCTGTAAGTCTGAATGTTGGGTTAAAAAGCAAAAGGAAAAAGAATCTAATGAGTCTCAGAGATCATCTTCCCAGAATGGAAATTTTAGTAAAATCCTTACCCACAAAATTATTCTTACAGGTGAAATAAGACAACATGGATTTGAGAGAAGTTTGAATCTGAACTCAAATTAATTCACATACCAGAAACCTTGTAAACATGGTATATACAACCAGAGTTTCAAATGGAATTCAGATTTTGTTAAGCATCAACGAATTTGTCCCAGAGAAAAAATTCACCATGATAGAAACTGTTTTAAGAGCCCAAACCTTATTAAACATGCAGCAATTTTCAGTGGAGAGATAAGCCATCAGTGTAGTGAGTGTGGAAAAGCATTCAGGCACACCTCACAGCTTGTTAGGCATCAGAGAATCCATACTGGAGAAAGGCCCTATGAATGTAATGAATGTGGGAAAGGTTTGGGGGGAAACTCAGATCTCAGACATGAGTGAACTCACACTGGGGAAAGACCTTTCAGATGCACAGAATGTGGGAGAACATTTATCCTGAACTCACATCTTGTCCAGCCTCAGAGAATTCACATCAGAGAGAAACCCTATGAATGCAGTGAATGTGGGAAAACCTTCCGAGTGAGTGCACATCTTATTTGACACCTGAGAACCCACACTGGAGAGAAGCCCTATGAATGCAGCAAGTGTGGGAGAGCCTTCAGTCAGAGTTCTCACCTGAGTCAACAGCAGAGGATTTGTGGTGAACCTTGACATAAGCACGGCCATGATTGAACTTTGAGTCACCTCACCCGCACGGATGTGCTGTCGCCCCTAGTAACGGGCTAGTTCAACTGGTGGTCTGACCTGTTGCCTAGCAAATGTAACCCATAATACTTGTTTTGTATAACCTTGTGACCTTTGTAGTCGGCTACACCCTGTTTACACTTTTGGTTTCGGTTTTAGCCTATATATACCCCACCCTAAAAAATAAACGGGGCCTTGCTCCGAAGAGAGCATGAGCCCGGAACTAAGTCTGTGAGACTGTTTGCTCTCCTGTTGTTCTTCCCTCGGATTTGGGACCTGCTGGCAGGATTCTGACGTTGCGGCTCACGACAAGGATTCACATGTGAGAAAGCCTGCTAATGTAAGGAACTCAAATTCAT